AGAGATCCGCCTGCCTCTGCCTCCCAAGTGCTGGGATTAAAGGCGTGTGCCACCACGCCTGGTGCATTTTTAAATTCTTTTGAGTTCTCCACACTGCTTTCCATAGTGTTGTATGAGTTTCCATTCCCACTGGCAGTGAATGAGTGTTCCTGGTTCCCAGGAAAGGGTTTTTTGGACTTCACATCCTGATCATAGTTCATCACGGAGGGAAGCCAGGGTAGGAACTCAAGGCAGGAGCTGAAGCTGAGACCATGGGGGAACGCTGCTTACCAGCTTGCTTCTCCAGCCTGTGCTGTCTGTTTTCCTATACAGCTCAGTCCCACCTGTCCAGAGGTGGCACCCTCCCACATCACTCAAGGAAGGTCTGTCTCATAGACATGGCCACAGGCCAGTCCAAAAGAGGGAATTCCCCAATTGAGGGACCCTTCCCAGGTGTGTCAAGTTGACAGCTGAAGCTTCCAGCACACTATTTACACAATAGTTGGGGTTGAATTCAGTGCCTTGTACATGGTAGACAAGCTTTACTACTGGGGCACAACCTAGTCTTTCAGATATTTTATTATTTTTGTGCGTATGAGTGTATTGTCTGCATGTATGTAAGCACTCCTGTATTGTGCAATGCCTGCAGATGTCAGAAGAGAGCATCGGATCGCCTAGAACTGAAATTATGAATGGTTGCTAGCTGTCACTAAGCCATCTCTCCAAGCCCCTTAATTTAAAAAAATTTTTTTTTTTTTGAGATAGGGTCTCCCTGTAGCCCCAGCTGTCCTGGAACTCACTATGTAGACCAGGCTGGCCTTGAACTCACAGAGATCCACCTGCCTCTGCCTCCTGAGTGCTGGGATTAAAGGCATGCGCCACCACACCCGGCAATTTAAAAAATATAAAAAATATTTTATTTTATATGTATGAGTGTTTTGCCTGCTCTAAAACAGGAGTTATAGGCAGTTATTAGCTGCCATGTGGCTGCTGGGAACCAAACTCAAATCCATCAGCCTGTGCTCTTAACCACTGATCCATCTCTCCAGCCTAATTAAAAAACTTTTAAATTTACGGCATGGTGGCACACGCCTTTAATCCCAGCACTCAGGGGGCAGAGGCAGGTGGCTCTCTGAGTTCAAGGCCAGCCTGTTCTACATAGCGAGTTCCAGGCCAGTTGGGGCTACAGGGAGACCCTGTCTCAGTTTTTTTTTTTTAATTTAAATGTTGGTGGTACTGGAGATTGAACTGGGGGGCCTCATACATGATAAAAAGACACTAATCAATATATTCCCCCACCCTTGTTTTGAGACAAGTTCTCACTAAGTTACCAAGTCTAGCCTTAAACTCATCTTCCTGAGTAGCTGGGATTACAAGCCTATGCCTGGCTTAAAATTAATTTTAAAGGTACTATATTTTGTTTCATTGGGTTTTTTTTTTTTTTTTTTTTTTTTTTTTAAAAAAAAAAAAAAAAAAAAAAAAAAGAGGACGATAAATCTTTCACTGTGATATATCAAAATAAGAACTCACAGAGATCCGCCTGTCTCTGCCTCCTAAGTACTGGGACTACAGGCATGCGTCACCATGCCCAGCTCTTCATTGTTTTTTTAAAAAATATTTTATTTATTTTTATTTTATGTGTATGTGTATATTGCCTGCATGTATGTGAGTACCCGTGTCATTCAGTGCCCGAGGAGGACAGAAGAGGCTGTTAGATCCCCTGGAACTAGAGTTATAGACAGTTGTTAGCTGCCACATGGGTGCTGGGATTTGAACCCAGGTCTTCTGCCAGAACAGTCAGTGTTCTTAACCGCGGAGCCATCTCTCTAGCCCGTTTCATTGTGTTTATTGCAAATGATATTGTAGATAATAGATAGATAATAGTAGATAATAAACACATTTACCTAGTTTTCAGTAAGACTGTGAAAATAGGCACACTATGTCCTGTGTGTTATACCAAATTGGAATTGATGGTCCCTGAGTTTTTTCTGTGGTGTTTGGCCCTTGGTTGGTGTCTGTAGAGTTCCTCCACTGTGATTTACCATCTCTCCCTTTGTAATTGACAAATACCATGAGGGTGATTCTTTGAGGCCACCACATGGGCAGCAGGTTGTACCAAGACCTTTGGTGAAGATGTAGAGGGAGGTGGAAGCGCCAACAGTCACTGGGCAGTTGCCAAGCTGAAGGAAGGTGGGGCCCATGGACCCAGCCTCGACCCATATTCTCCTTGCCTGTGACTGGGGTGGGAGTTGGGGCACATTTCTGACTCTGGGAAACCCCAAGATGGCAGGGGAGAAAGGTGGGGAGAGCCTACCCTCTGGCTGCTGCATACTGCATCTAGGACATCTGATACCATGTGGCACAGCAGTGGGAGACGGCGAAGGCAGGAGGGAGACCGCAGAGATGCCTGGCTTCCCAGATCACAAGAGCAGGGACACCGTCCCCAACGTGCAGCTTTATCCACAGACTCAGCATGCCTGTTAGAGACCTGTGGGCAGAGGCCTGCAGCCTGTTCACTTCCCTAGTGCTGAGCAAGGCTGGAGATGGCACCCCTAAACCAGATCCAAACCAGATCCAGTCACCATCCTCAGATCCAGCCCAGGGACTGGGGTCCTGAGACAGAGACTGTCAGACTTTGCCCAGGGTAGGAGACAGAGTGGTCCTGACACATTGACAGCCAAGGCACCCTGAGCCTCCTGGCAGTGGTCAGCTAACAGAGATTCAGTGCTGGGCTGCCCTTCTGGACACCTCCCCTAACCTGAAAAGCAGTGCCATGTGGTTAGCTGGTCCCTCCCTTCCAGGCTGCTGGGCATGGTGGGGAGAGCTGGAGAGGCCAGAGGGCAGGGTGGATGAGGGCAAGGTTGGGGTCCAGAATGGAGCCTGATTCTTAAGGCAAGGTAAATGAACCCTTGAAAGGGTCCTGGCCACAGCCTGAATCTTGCCCACACTGACCTGTCCCCAGCCCCTCTGGCTGTTCTCTGGCCCTGTTTCCCTCTGCTTCCTATACAGACACTATCACAAGTTTATGCACAGGACACAGCATGGCCCAGGGCAGGGGTGGGAACCAGAGCCTCATGGCAGAGAGGGGAGCGGTGAAATGATGATGATGCCCAGGATCATGCAGCAGCAGATGATCTTCCCAGAGGTGAAGATGGCAGGGTTCCAGAATCTTGCTTCTTAAACACTGGCCCAGTTTTAGCATGCTCCATTGGGTCTTAACTACATCCTAGTGCTTGAGACTGTTCTGTTGACTGGATGAAGTGCAGATGAAGTTTTCTTTTTCCTTGTTTATTTGTTCATTCAATTGTTATTTAAGTATGAGGTTATGGAGGTGGACAACGGTCCTGTGGATTAAAGCAAGTACTGTCATTACTGCATCATGTCACTCTATTCATGAGAGACACCTGGAAACCCAAGTTGATGGACAGGGCCAGAACATGAAAGTCAGACAGGAACTGTACAAATTGGAGAAAGGAGAGGAGGAGCAGTTAAGTGGTGTGGGTTGCTGGGTGGGTTTGGGAGTAGACAGATCACCAGTAGAGAACTGTGTTGATCGCATCGTGGTCCTGTTCCCCCCTCCCCCCCATCTTGCTGGCTGTATGGGGAAGTGAAGAAGGCGTATACGATTTCAAAAAAGTACAGGCTTTCGGCAGAGACACATTTTTGCAGCTTTTCCTTGTCTAAAGAGTTTAAATGATGGGGAATTATTTTTTTCGTCTTTTTGAGTCAGGGTCTCCCTGAAGCCTCAGCTGGCCTGGCGCTCCCTATGTAGACCAGGCTGGCCTTGAGCTCACAGAGCTCTGCCTGCCTCTGCTGGGACCAAAGGTGTGTGCCACCATGCCCAGCTATGGGAATTCTTTTAATTAAGTTTAAAACAGCATTTTTGGCCTTTGGGTATGTGGTAAAGGCTTTTATTTGCAATTTCCTGTAATGAAACTAAATTATTTTCTTTAGGTTTACATATTGGTGGAGAAACTTAGTTCTGTGTATTATTTGCATGTCAGTGCACATGCTGATTTTACTTGCACACCCTTGCATGTATGATTCTTCATGTATCAGGAAAAACTGAGACCGCTAACTTTAATTAGATCTGTGACTTTGGGAGAACCAGGTGACCTCTCCCTGCCTTGCAGCTGTCCACTCAGGTCTCTAGAATCACTTTTGGGCCAAAATGTTAGTAGCCTTTGTAAGAGGGTTTTTGAGTTTGAAATGACAGCATTCTAATCTCCTTGTCTGTCTTTGGATTTAGGAAGAAAAGGCTTCTCTTTTACATCGCACTCAGGAAGAAAGGAGGAAGAGAGAGGTAACCGCAGCTTCGATTTCTCCATGGTGACCGTTTTTCTATGGCACTTAAAGCCTTGCTTTTGCTTTGCCTGTGTGGGTGCTGTGTGTGTTTAGCTTTTGCAACAGTTTTGAATGTGTTTCAGCACGTTTTTTTTTTGTTTTTGTTTTTGTTTTTTTACAATAAGCTGTTTATTTTGGAATCAACTGTAGGGCTAAAAAGACCAAGTTCTGGCTGGAGAGGAATGTGGGTTTTGGGTTGCCTTTCTAGTTTATAGGAAGGCTTCAAAAGATCTAGAAAAGCTTAATATATGTTGTTTATATTTCTCCATCAAAGGAGAAATTTCAACTTTAAGGCATATGTCTTAACTATTTGTAGAGATAAAAGGAGCTAATGGCATTCTTTTTTCTTTTATCTCCTGCTGCTGGTCCTTCCTGCCAGCCTGCTCATGTAGCCCAGGCCAGCCCCAGGCTCAGCCCTCTGCCTACTGTAGTGATGGAAGGACGGGCGTGTGCCACTGTGCCTGGCTTCCATCTTCCATCTTTCTGGGGATAGTTACTTCAGTTAACTTTGCTGGCTGATCAGAACCTGTAGGTCCTGCTTTTTCAGATAGTTTTTAGTCTCTTTACCATAACAGTTTATTCCTGCATTTGACAGATGTCTGAGAGCTTGTAGTAGGTCAGGTACTGTTCTGTTTGCTGGATGTACAGGTAGTGTGAGACATAAGGGTCCTGTTCTGTGGTGGTCATTCCTGTGTAACAGCCAAGATCCCGAGGTTGTGCTGAGAATTATAAAAGACAGTCACGGCTAGTGACTGAGGAGGCTGAGCTAGATGGTGGCTGGGGAGTCGGGCCCTGGAAGAGAGTGGAGTGGGTAATTCTAAAGCATTCCTAGTAAAGAGGACAGAGATGGCAGCAGAAACCAAAGTTTCTGGCCCGTCACTTGTTTCTAACCAGGATATTCAGCTGCCTCACAGCAGCAGTCCCTCCCTGCAGCTGAGGCTGACCACCAGCATCTGCTGCATGCTGACATCCCTTCAGTTGAGCCTCACTGCTCAACCAGGAATGGTGCTGACGTTTGATGTTCTGTTGCTGGGAAGTTCTCAGTCGTCGTCTCTTCTGGTGGTCTGTCACTCTCCATTCTCCTATTGATAAGAAGTGTAAGGAAGGTACATTGTGGGGCTGGAGGTGGCTTAGTGGTTGAGAGCACTGGCTGCTCTTACAGAGGACCCAGGTTCAATTCCCAGCACCCACATGGCAATCAACAACTGTCCCTAACTCCACTTCCACGAGCAACGCCCTCTTCTGACCTCTGTGGGCACTGCAACATACATGCAGGCAATACACTCATAGACATTAAATAAAAAGAAATAATCCCCCCCCCCCAAAAAAAAAATTTAAAAAGAAGCACATGAGTAATGACTTGGCAGTCAGGGCAAGGAATGAGGGATGACCACTAATGGGTAAAGGGTTTCTTTTGGGGCTGACGAAGGCACACTAAAACCACGTTGGTAATGGCCACATAACCCTTTTATACATTAAAAATTAGGTTCAGTGGATGGTATACTTAAAAATGAATTTTATGGGCCTGGTGTGGTAGCTCACGCCTGTAATCCCAGCACTCGGGAGGCAGAGGCAGGCTGATCTCTGAGTGTTCAAGGCCAGCCTGGTCTACCTATTGAGTTCCAGGACACCTGGGGCTACAGGGAGACCATGCTTCAAAAAGACCAAAAATAAAAAAGTGAGTTTTATGGTCTTCAAATCACACACAAAATTAACTACTAAAAACAACCTGACTAAACCCCACCGACTGTGACCAGTTGCTCCCGCTCTGCTTCCTCCGTTATTCAGGAAGAAAGGCGAAGACTAAGAAACGCAGTGATTATCCAGTCGTTCGTTCGAGGCCACAGAGACAGAAAACAGCAAGTAAGTTTGTTTTTAAAACTGAGAAAGAATCAGAAGGCTGTGCAGGAACTTCTGTTAGATCTGTTAGATGTGGTGTTTCTTGTGAGAGTAGCATCTCTCTGACATGAATTTTGATCCCCCCTCCCCCCAGTCTTTTTGAGACAGGGTCTTCCTATAGCCTAAGCTGGCCTAGAACTCACTGTGTAGACCAGGCTGGCCTTGAACTCAGAGATATGCCTGCCTCTGCCTTCCCAGTGCTGGGATTAAAGGCGTGCGCCACCACACCTGGCTTACTGAATTTTGTGTGCCTCCTGGTCTAGGTACTTTTCAGTACCTAGTACTTTTCAGTTGCTTTGCTAAAACACTAGCAAACCCAACTCGGGGAAGAAGGGTTTACTCAGCAGGGGCCAAGACAGGAATCAAAGGCAGGAACTGAGGGAGAGACCATGGAGGAACTTTGCTTACCGGCTTCTCCCCTGCCCTGCTTAATTAGCTTTCTTATGCAGCCCAGGCCCGATTGCCTCGGGATACCATTGCCTGCCCTGGGCTGGGCCCTCCCATATCAGTTGGCAATTAAAAAAATGCCTCACAGACATGCCCATAGGGCAGTCTAATAGAGTGAACTCCTCAGTTGAGATTCCTGTGTAACTCTAGGTTGTGTCAATTTGACAAAAACTAACCGGCACACTGCTTAATAAAAGTTAATGCTAGGGGCTGGAGAGATGGTTCAGTGGTTAAGAACACTGGCTGTTCTTGCAGAAGACCTGGGTTCATATCCCAGCACCCACATGGCATCTACTGTCCATAACTCCAGTCCCAGGGGATCTGACATCCTCTTCTGTCTTCTGTGGGCAGGCATAACACTCATACACATAAAATAAGAATAATGAATAAAATTTTTTTAAAAAAAGTTAATACTAATAACTTAGTGTTTTCCTAATAAACAGTTGTGGTAATTGTATTTTATGTATAGATTTCTTTTTTTAATTATAGTTATTTTTATTTTATGTGTATGAATGTATTGTGTACATGTGTGTAAGTGCACCCATGTCATGCAATGCCTGCAGAGGTTAGAAGACATTGGATCCCCTGGAACTGTAGTTACAGATGGTTGTTAGCCACCACATGAGTTCTGGGACTCGAACCCAGGCTTTCTGCAAGAATAGCCCAGTACTCTTAACCGCTGAGCCACCTCTCTACCTCTGCCCTTTTAAAAATATTTTTTCGTTTTATTTGTTGTGTGAGTGAAGATTTCTAGGTAGGTGGGTTTCCAGTGAGTTTTAAGTAACACAGGCCTGGACTGAACAGTGGCTGGTCACATACCTGCTCCCTCTGCTTCCAGTACTCCATCCAGAGATGTGCTTTTGACCGCTGCGCAGACTCAGCACAGCCTGGTAGCGCCTTCTCCCTTTCTGACGGTCCCAACCTTACCCGACTGGTGAGGCAGCTTCTGTTTTTTTACAAGCAAAGTGAAGACTCCAGACGCTTGGTAAGTGTCTTGTAATTTTCACTTGTCTTTGCTTAAACTGGAAGTAGTGTCTAATCAGGAAGCTAGGTACCCTGTGTCTCTGCCTCATGGGGTTTTCCTTTTCTTTGGCCACTGATAGATGACTTCTGTGCTGATGTGTTTTCCTCTTCAAATGTACATTTTGTTGTTGTTTTGTTTTCTTGGACAGGGTCTCACTCTGTATCCCTGGCTGGCCTGGAACTAACAGAGTCCCCCTGCTTTTGCCCTCAAGAGTGCTGGGACTAAAGGTGTGCACTACCATGCCTGTCAATAGACTTCTTTATTATCGGCTGTTTCAGGTGTGCTGGCACTCCACCAGCGCAGCCCTGCCCTGCACGTGGCACCACTTTCTTCTGTGCTTCAGCTTTCCTCCCTTTGCCCAGTCACTGTGAGGTGCATCCCCAATAGCGACTGTGTGCCCATGTAATACTGCAGTATCTGTCTCCAGTCACAGGGTCTCTCTCTTAAAGCATTCACAGCCTAGATCTTTAAGATGTCGTAGCTTCTGTTACTGCTGACAAGGAATGGTGATCAGGAATGGTGGGAAACATATTGGCTCTGTCAGTGAACCATGTTCTTTTTTGACTTTTTGAGACAGCCTCCCTGTAGGTCCAGCTGGCCTGGAACTCAATATGTAGAGCAGGCTGCCCTTAAACTCACAGAACTCCCTACCTGTATCTTCCTTCCAAGCACTAGGATTACAAGTGTGTGCCACCACACTCAGCTTGAATCATGTTCTTAAAAACTGGAGCTTCATGGTGTTGGAGGTTAAGAGCACACACTACTGTTGCAGAAGACCGGGGTTCGATTCCCAGCACCCACATGGCAGCTAACAACTGTCTGTAACTCAGTTCCAGGGGTTCTGACACCCTCTTCTCACCTCCGAGGGCACTGCATGACACGGGTGCACTTACACACATGCAGGCAATACACTCATACACATAAAATAATAGTAAATAAAAAATTTTTAAAAACAAACAAACTGGAACTTTACTTGGGAGGCAGAGGCAGGCAGATCTCTGTGAGTTCAAGGCCACATGGTCTACATAGCAAGTTCCAGGACAGCTGGGGTACAGGGAGACCCTGTCCCAAAAAAGGCAAAATAAAAAACAAAAACAAAAAAAACAAAAACAAAAAAACTGGAACTTGTAGCCAGTAGTGGCTCATACCTATAATCCCAACACTTGGGAGGTGCAGGAGTCCAAGGCTAGCCTGGTCTGTCTACATGAGACCTTGTCTCAAAAAGACAAAATAATAATAAAGGAACTTGCTATGTGCCATTTCCCCAGGAAATATTAAAAAAGATTTGTATATAATTGTTACCTTAAATATATTCTTCGAATTTTTACCTATAATGGATCTTCGAAACTACATTAAAAGGGGACATTCAATGAAAAACACATGTTAGACAGAGCCCCAGGCGGAGCAAGAACAAAGACCAGGGGCTGCTTTGCTGCTCTTCTGGAGGTTGAATGTATATCCAGCTCTGCAGCCTGGGGTTGAGCTACATTGGGGCATGATCAAGAGAGGTGCAGAAGGAGTTCATCTGCAGCCACTCTGGACTTTGCTTCTAGGTGATTCTTTCTAGACTCTGAAGTTCAGGAGAAGCATCAAAAGCACAATAGTGGACTGTCTGACTTAGTGTTTGAACAGGCTGGCCCTATTAAAGACACTTGCCACTGAGCTTGGAACCCAGAATTGGATCCCCCGGACCCACATGGTTCAAGGAGAGAACTGACACCTCCAGGTTATCACACTGATTTGTACAAATGTGCCATGGCACAGGCTTGCACACACACGTGCACATAAAACACGTTTTAAAACATTTTACAGATTGTCAAATCCAGAACTGAAACTAATTGAGAAAGTACTGAAGGACTCTATCTAGTCAGGACTCTTGACTGCCTTGAGTTATTTGAAATTTTACTTTAAACTTGGGTAGTAAATACAGGACTTTATTCTTGCAGTTCCTACAACTGTTCTTTAACTTTTTATGATGGGTGGGTTTTTTGGTTTTTTTTTTTAATTACTTGTATTTTATGTATAAGAGTGTTTTGCAGGGCTGGAGAGATGGCTCAGCAGTTAAGAGCACTGACTGCTCTTGTAGAGGACCTGGGTTCAATTCCCAGCACCCACATGACGGCTATGAACCGTCCTTAACTCCAGTTCCAAGGGAATCTGAAGCCCTCTTCTGACCTCTGTGGCATTGCACTTACATGAGTACACATACAGGCAGTACACTCATACATGTATATAAGTGCACTGCATGTGTACAGTGCCTGGAGAAGTCAGAAGAGGGTGTCAGAGATCCCCTGGAACTGGAATGACAAATGATTGTTAGCCTCCGTGTGGGTGCTGGGAACTGAACCCAGGTCCTCCGCAAGAGCAGCCAGTGCTCTTAACTTCTGAACCATCTCCAGCCCCATGATAGATAGGTTTTTTTTTAATGTGTATGAGTGTATTGCTTGCATGTATGTGAGTGCATCCATGTCATGCAATGCTGTGGAGTTAAGGACAGTTCATAGCTACTATGTGGGTGCTGGGAATCGAGCCTGCAAGAGCCGTCAGTGCTCTTAACCACTGAGCCATGAGCCATCTCTTCAGCCCTGATAGGTAGTTTTTATACATCAAACTTTTTGTTTTGTTTTTTTTTTTATTTGTTTGTTTGTTTGTTTGTTTTTTGAGAGAAGATCTTACTATAGCCCTGGCTGGCCTGCAGCTCACCACGTAGACCAGGGTGACCTGGAACTCACAGGGATCCACTTTCCTCTGCCTTTCTAATGCTGAGATTAAAGGTGTGCACCATCACACTCAGCTCTGTACATCTTATTTAATAGATAATACAAAGTTTAAGATGTGTCAGGTAGAACAGAAAATTTGTATCTTGCTGGTTCCCATGAAATTGGACAGGGTGCAGGGCCGAAGAGATGGCTAAGCAGTTAAGAGCAGTGGCTGTTTGTTCTTCCAGAGGACTCAAGTTTGATTCCCGGGACCCACATGGTACTTAACAACCATCCTGAACTCCAGTTTCATGGGACCTGATGTCCTCTTCTGACATCCACGGGCACTGCACGACTCAGGTGTACTTACACACATGCAGGCAATACATTTATATACATAAACTAAAAATAATAAAATTAGGCTTCCCTGGGCTACACAGCCGCAGGCGTCCTGGTGCCAGCTTCTTTCCTGAGTAAGTCCACCAGCACTCACCATGCCTTGACTCCCCCAGCCTTATTTGCCCTCGCAGCTCTCCCTCCCCATCTCTCCTCCTAGCCTGGGTACTGGCTCATTTCTTGTCTTGGCACCCCAGACCCCTGGACTGACCTCTTGGCCCAGAACCCCCACTGCTTCCTGATCATTTGCATCCAGAGCAACCCAGTTCCTCCCAGTAGTCCCCAGGAGCCCTCGGGGCCTCTTCTTGCCTCCATCTCCTTTGCATCCCTGGGTGGCACAGCCACCAGCTTCCTGGGACCAGCATCTTTCCTGGGCCCTGCTCTTAGCCCTGCTCTTAGCCCAGCCCAACCCCCAAATTCTGGAGGTCAGCATCTTTCCTGGAGGGATCCAGACCTTAGGAGAAAGCCTGAGAGCATATGATCCTCATCTGATTGGGTCTCTGTGGGAACTCCTGAAGACAAAAGCAGTATGGCCACTCCAATATAAAATCAAAAGAGAGAACTGGAAGCTTAGAGGAACCAGCTTTTCATGCCCTAAAAGTAAACCACAAAGACATATAAAGTTCACGAAAAGAAGCAGACCTAAACTTGAAGGCTTGAGTCTCACATAAGAATCAGAAACTACAAAAGAAATCCACATGTCAAA